ATCCCAACCCAATCCAACACTGTCATCACCACCTATGCCGATGACACGTGTATCCTATCAGTTAATAACGATCCTTTAATTGCATCCCAAACTCTTCAATCACATATCACAAGCCTTGAAGAATGGTGTAAAAATTGGAGAATAAATATAAATTCCAACAAATCCCATCAAATCACCTTTACCCTCCGTCGTAAACCTATGACCTCTTGTCCTACAGTATCCTTCAATAATACTCCACTTATTCCTGTTGAGCAAATCCGCTACTTAGGACTCCATCTTGACAAACGACTCACTTGGAACCCCCATACCAGACTGAAACGACTAGAAACCGCCCGACGTTTTCGACTACTGCAGCACTTACTAGACAAACGATCTAAGCTTTCAATCAATTATAAACGACTCGTATATATGACAATAATAAGACCTATTTGGACTTACGGAATTGAGCTTTGGGGCTCCACTAAACCATCGAATTCCTCTCGTATCCAATCCTTACAATCCAAAATCCTTCGTAAAATCCTCAACGCTCCTTACTTTGTCACAAATAAAATCATCCATAAAGACCTTAATGTTCCATATGTTTCCGATCTGGCCCAATCCAGATACCTTTCCTTCCATAACAAACTGCAGAACCATCCGAATCCTCTCGTTTTAAACCTTGCTTCCTCCTCGATCCCTGATAACCCTCCGAGGCGTCTGAAAAGAAGATGGCCTCGGGATCTTCTAATATAGAACTTTAATTTGAGTTCTACCAATGGGTAGTTTCTCTTCATGTTGTACATGCCATGTTACAAATTTCTCATTTACTTATTGTATTCTCTGTGTAATACAGTTGTAAATTCCATTAAAATAATAAAAAAAAAAAAAAAAAAACAGCAGGAAAGTAGTTCGAAACGTAAAAACCTGAAGAAATTGCTGAAGCCAGCTTATGTAACTGTTTGATTGTGTGTAACTGTTTATTAAACTGTGTGAATTATTACACATTTCTTTATAGGTTCAGTATATATCAGATTGAATGTTAAAGCTTTCGCCATAAAAAATATATTTTGTTTTGTTTCTAAAGATAATGTGTAGGGTGTTAAAAGCTTTAATCAGAAACGGTTATTTCTTTAAATGCTACTTCTTCAATCCGAGATATATAGTTGAAAATCTTGGTGTACACTCCGGAAGAATCTCGCTTCCCGCCAAATTCTTTTTTTCCTAAGGACGTTATTCTAATCTGAATTCTGAAATTCCGATATTTAGCACTTCGTGTAACCAATGGACCGCAGGATTCACCATTAAAAATTATAGCTTACATTACTATTAATTATACCTTGTCAATTCAACCTATATTAAAAATACAAGCATGCTTACAACTTTGTAAAAGAATTATTAGAGTGAACCGAGAGATTACTCAAACATCCATTAAAAAAATATGAAACTTGTCAGGAATTGTTCATCACCCTTCCCATAATAATTGGTAAAATGTCCCAAATTTTCTCGTGGGAATAGGGAAGAACAGAATACTGGTATATTTTTTTTTCTGAGGATATCTTAAAAATTATGAGAATTATCGCAAAGATTTTTCAGTATAATATTAATATATTTTATTTTTACAATATACTTTATATTTATATTTATAATTCATTATATTTTTTTGTTAAAGCGATTTTGGGAGACCGAGGATGTCACAGTTTCGATTCCGCCGAATCCTGAAGAAGCATTTAGTGATGATTACTTTATAAATACATGGACTCGTGGTCTCCAGGATTGATTCGTTGTTTCGCTTCGGCTCCGTTCAAATCAACATATTATCCTTGATTCCACTAGAGAGATAGCTCTACGCAGATTTATAAATCTGAAAAATAGATTTTTGAGAGATACGGCGTACAAATCTGCATATGCTGCATAGATGGACGAATATGTAAGACAGGGTCATGTCCGCCTCTCCAAGGACCCTTCTCCATACGCCATTACCCATTATGGGGTCATTAAAGATTCTTCCACGACAAAGCTTAGAGTCATATTTAACGGTTCGGAGAAGATGGTGGAAGGGAACTTACTAAGTGATTCACTTTTGACCGGCCCGCAGCTCCAGACTAATATTGCGGAACTTATATACCATTTTAGATGCTTTCTTGTGGCCTTAACATGAGATATAAAAATGATGTTTGTATCAGCATTGCCGAAACTAATCAAAACGTGTTACGTTTTTTTATTTTTTTTGGAGAAGGGAATTTACATAGCAGATCCAGAAGTGTGAATTTGTTACTGTGCCATTTTGGTTGAAATGTTCTATATTTATTTCTCAGAGTGTCATTGTACAGTTATTTCGTGAAGAAGAACATAATTTTCTTATAGCTGCCCAGCGTCATCACTGGTTCTCGCAATAGTGATGAGGCTCTGGAACTGAGTTGATGACCTTATTTATAGCAGGTCGGTTTGAACTCAGGAAGCTCTCATGCAATTCCGAAAAAATACTTTCTGTTATACCTGAGGGCAGTGAAGAACTTCCGTTGTGCCTGGATGGAGATTCCTCGACTGTCAAGGTTATTGGTTTGTCTTGGGATCCTAAACTCGATCATTTCAGATATTCAATACTGAAAAGTGAGCCTATTTTTACAAAGCGAGGTATTCTATCCATCAATGCTAAAAATTTCGATATAAGGATATATCAGCTCGTGCGTTATCTAAAAAAAAAAAAACGATCTAGCTGCTGTGGTGGTCTGCAACAGCAGAGCTGGAGTCAAGATAGTAGCAGTGAGATGCGCCGCCCTAGTCGCTAGATGGTGTGAGGGAAAAAAGATGAGGATGGCTGCTGCCAAGACTCAAGCCATCCTCCTTAAGGGAAAGACTGATAGGGCACACCCTATAACGATGTACATAGAAGGCCAGAGGATATGTTCAAGTGAGGTGGTAACCTACCTAAGAGTTAGGTTAGGAGTTGGCCTGAATATGACGCCCCACTTGGAATATCAGGCAGGTAGGGTGACCCTAGCAATGAACGGCCTAAGTAGCATGGGGAGCGCATTTTGGAGATTCAAGTACCCAGTCACTATCACTATTTATAAAGGTGTTTCGGAGGGTATTCTGAGGTATGCGTCTCCCTTCGAATTCCGAAATCCCACACTCAGACAAAGAAATAGGCTAGCATCAACTCAGAGGACTGCACTGCTTCGGGCCACCAGAGCATATAGGTCTACGTCGCATGAAGCTGTCTAGGTCTTAGCGGAGGTGGTGACTCTCGACCTTTTCCTGACCGAAGAAATGACCAGGTACGATTACAAGAGGGAGGGTTCAACAGGTCTGTCGGAGAACCTACGGATCAGGATCATTGAAAACCCAAATAAATGGAAAAAGATTATCCAGGAGGAAACAATTTAAAGTTGTAGCAGACGGTGGGTGACGACTCCGAACTCTAATGTCGGTGGGTCAAAGTAGAACTTAATATTGTAATATGTCGAAGATAACATTAAACGCTTAAGAAAATACTTCCCCACCGTAGAATCTCGGTTACAAGCGAAATGGATACTCCCGGACTATTGGGTTTCGCAATTGCTCACGGGCAATTGAACATGTGATCATGGCCTGCACTTCTTTCGACAGATTAAGAGAAATGTTAATGAGAACCACTGGAATTTTCGTCCTCACTGAAGAGGAGTTTTCTCAGTTGGTGAGTTTATAAATAGCTGAAAGATGGATGTGGGTCCAGTTCAACCTAGGAGCCCGCAGAAGGAGGAGAGAACAAGTCCCAGGAAGACCTCCGGATTCAGGAAGCCAGGCCTTATTTGCTGTAGAATGAGGAAAAGCAAGCTGTGTGCACGGCTTTGAATTTTTTAAACTGATGTTATGGCAGTTGGGTGTTATTATGCATTAATGCTTAACATCACACTACTGCATACACCTATATTGCGCTGGTGGCATGGGAGAGTGGAAAATAAACAAATAAATAAACCTAAAAAATGAAGAAAGAATAGGACTTAAAAACTTTAACTTAATATAAAAACTTGTATCTTCCGAACCAGCGTTTAATGTTATCTTCGACATATTACAATATTAAGTTCTACTTTGACCCACCGACATTAGAGTTTAAGTATAATATTTTCCATCACATTTATGGATGTTATTTAACAATAGGCTAAATAATAGAATTCGCAATTTTTTTTTAAAATTTAAAAATATATAACATTTGTTTTGTCACGAAAACTGCTTCCATTATCAATAAAACTCTCCATACAGAATACTATATAGGGAGAATTTACCTTTAATCCATTATTTATTTAATTTTACCATAGTTTTTTAATTTTTACCTTCATATTTGAGTGTCTAATCACATTTTTTTTGTGTGTGTGTTCTCCCCATCCTCGCTTTTAAGGCTATAAGGGGTTTTCCCGGGCCAGGGAGTTTGGGCGAGGATTTAATAGACTCCCTCGGCACCGGGACGCGAATTCGTGACTATTTTAAATGCATTGTCTGATATATCAGGTTGCCGGGCAATGGCGGTGCTGTGCACACATGTTAGCCTGTTCGACCACCCTGCCCACTGTCTAATCACACTGAAGTATACTGCTCAAGGTAAGTTTAATAAAAATCAAAATTCACTTTGATAGTTATTTATTGTACGTTTCGGAGAATCTGTGTCCCCCTCTTTAGTAATACCTTATTTTCTCCCCTAAAAAAAATGGTAAGTCAATAACATATAATAATTTTAGTACAACATCAATTTTCTACTGTTTTGAATTTCAGTTAAAAATGAGACATGTCCTCTCCCCCGGAATGGGGAAAACACCGTGTAGCCTAAAAGGCAAGAAAGGCGAGACAAAAAATAAAAAAAGAAGGAGTAAATAGATCTTTAATTTTATTTTATCAAAAATCAAATTGGGAAGTGTAAAAATAAAATTATACTATGGCATTGTTGAAGATTAAATTCCATTTAATAAAAGATTTAATGAAAACATAACTCTCTATAAAATTATTAATTTTTTTTTTTTATGAAAATATATAGGATTTTAAAAATTTTAGTCAGAAACTATCACATCTTTAAAAGCTACTTCTTCTATCCAGGGTATGTAGTTGGAAACCCTGGTGTACACTCCTGGAGAATCCGGAAGCCCGCAGTTATTACCATACGACGTTATTCCAATCTGAATTCTGGGTTTCTGTCGTAAACCTGCTCCAAGGGACCACTGTTTTTTAAGGGTTCCAAAGGTAATCAATGGACCGCCAGAATCACCCTAAAAAAATACAGGTCTCAACAAGGATCTTGTGAATGCAACTTATATTAAAAATACAAACATTTTAAATTTAATTCAAATTGCCAAAATGTACATATTTTATTTATTTAGAGATATAATATTCTGTCACGGGGACAATCATTATATTGATAAATGAACACATTCACAACGTATATACAAAAAATTAGCAAAAGTAAAATAATAATAAATAAAAACTATATACAATAAAAAAATAAAATAATCTAAATATAAGTAAATTAAAAACATAAAAATATAGTCATACCTATATACAATCAGGCGGGGAACCCAAACCCCTGCGCTACTCTCTTAACCGCCTCACCTAAAGCCGGTGGAGTTTGAGCGAGAGCGCTTTAGCCACATACACTCATGTCTTGAGTGGAGAATCTGGCCATTGCCAGAACTCCAAAATAAATACTATAAAAGATCTCTGGGCCACTGCCCCTTCAACCTTCGAGGAGGGTTGTAGGGATGAGTGGAACTAGATAAGGATTGGGCTAGGGGATTTGGATGATCGATAAGGTTCTGATGGAATTTTGAAAATTTTTCAGGGATAAGGTCAAGGACAAATGGGATATTAAGGTCATGATGTAGGGTTTTGTTGGTTACATAGAACGGAGCATCGACTATTGTTCGGAGGACTTTGGATTGAAAGGATTGGATGAGTTTAATGATAGAGAATTTCGCTGTTCCCCAATGTTCAAGTCCGTAGGTCCAAATAAGTTTCAGAATTGTCTTGTAGATCAGTAATTTGTTGTCAATTGAAAATTGAGATTTTCTGGCCAGTAGTCTGTATAATTGGCCGTATCGTCGGTTAAGTTCTTGTCTTTTAAGTCTAGTATGTGGGTTCCACTTTCTAAGATAAAGCCAAGATACCGGACTGTGTCTGAAAAAGGAAGCTGGATGGAATTAAAGTGGACTGATGGACAGGATCTGCGGCGGAGTGTGAAGGTAATGTGTTTGCATTTGGATTCGTTTACTTTGATGCGCCATTTATTACACCAGTGCTCAATCATGGAGAGGTGTCTTTCCAGATTTAAAGACGCTATTTCGGGATCTGAGTTGGATGATAGGATGGCGGTGTCATCAGCAAATGTTGTCAGGAAGGTATTGGGATGGACAGGGATATCGGCGGTAAAAAAGGATATAAAGGACGAGGCCCAAGACGCTACCTTTAAGAACACAGGCTTCAACTGGGTAGGAGTTAGAAAATTCTGAACCACAGCGAACCCGAAAGGTACGATCAGAGAGGAAGGAGCGGAGGATTAGGTACAAGGACTGGGGTAGATAGGTTTTCAGCTTGGAAAGAAGCCCGGCGTGCTATACCCGGTCAAAAGCTTGAGCTATGTCCAGAAAAGCACCCGAGTGCTGCGGAAATATGATCTACCACTCGGAGTCCAGATGGTAGGAGAAGTGATAAGTAAGTTATATAAGTAAGTAAGAAATGTAACAGCTTTAGGAGGAAGTTTTCGAAGGATTTGAGAAGTAAGGAGGTCGTATCCAGGAGATTTACCGAGAGTAAGTTCTTGTAAGTGATGTTTGACCTCAGAAGGATTAATTGCTTTAGGAGGTAAGGAAAGTGGAATGGGTGATGAAATGAATTCTTCTACTGATATGGTATGGGTGGGGTTGGATTCCGGAAGTGAGGTGAATGGTCTGGAGAGGTGTCTGGCGAATTCCTCCGCGTTTTCTTCATTAGACGCTGCCCAGGAGCCATCGCATAGACGGAGGGAATGGGAAATATGATGGGATTTAAGGATTTTGTTGGTGATCTTCCTTAGAGAATTGTCATGAACAGAGAGGGAAGTAAGGTAGGAGTTGAAGGATTGGGATTTGAAGATGGCCAATAATTCAAATTAAATTTATTTTTGAAAAGATAAGATGATCACTACTCACCGTGCATGTATCTCTACTACCATCAGGAACTCCTGCGCAGAACATGAGTTCAGGCTGATAGCCAAGTGGTGATTTGGTGCTGTAAGTACTGAACATGAGCCTTTCACATTCCGTATTATTGTAAATGTCTATTTCTGCTTCGAGAAGCTGATCACTAGTGGCTTCAGCTGCAAAAGAGTAGATGCAACCATGAAACATACCTACACACTCTAAAGATTTGGAAGGAAAACCGTTTTGTTTTATTTTCATCTACTTCTGAATAGTTTAGTACCACATGAATAATAAGTCAAGGTGAAGGAAAAAACTTCGGTGGATGGTTTGCTAATTTAAATGGCTGAAAACTATCTATATTTATAAAATAAGCGTTTTGTCTGTACGCTGAATAAAATCAACACGTTTCATAATATCTTTCCGTATCAAACATTACAAAAACCAAACCCACTTTTAAAAATTTTTTGTCTGTCTGTATGTCCGCATTGTCAAACGAAATTTTGTCAGGGGTAAAATTTTGATATTTGATTTTTTTGATTAAGTTTGCTTGACATAAAACAAAAGTCTTAGATGAATACAAAATATTGAGCAGAACCAAAGTTATGAATTCTTGAGTAATTTGTCTAGAGATCCCAGTTAGGCATTACTTCGATTCTCATCCCAACCTATTCTACTGCGAGAGACATTAAAAAGTTGTACTATTCAACTGATGGAAAAATTATCACAACTCAACGGGAAAAACCCCGAAATATCGAACATCTGTACTACCATCTCGTTTAACAGGGGTAAAACAAACTCATTTTTCAACTTTGTCCGATCTTCCCGTTCAAGATGTCATTCGATTCAAATTCTGGAGCTTTACAAATGTTGTATGAATTTTAGGATTAACCAAACGGATTAGCCTGAAATCAGCGGGAAAACTCCCGAAAATTTCACCTCGCCAGCCACGATATTCAGATAAAGTTCTAATTTTACACGGATGTAGGTGACTCAATGTCCAATGTTGTTTTGGTTATTTTGCCAGTGAAAAACGCAGCAAAGTTTAAAGAAGTGGAGGGACTACAACAATATCCTCGCTTTACCATAAACGAAAATTAAACACTTAAACAATTTTAATGGATCGGTGGTCGGTTTAGTTGTGTGGCACCTAAAGAAATAGCCGAATAACAAAGTTTTTATTACGACTGTTGCAAAACCTTGACTATCATAAGCCATGGCATGAAAAAATTAAAAAAAAAAAACCTCGCCCATCCAATTTCATGAAACTGAAATTGAATCCCTCCTCCCCCATAGAACGAAATCCGTCTCAAAAAAATCATACTCAAATTTTAACTATACACCCGTCAGCGACGGGTACATCAGCTAGTTACATTATATATATAACCCACACATGTACAATGTAACAACTAGCAGTAAATATTTTATGGAAATCATTAATGGGCTTCCGTCCTTGCTTGATATACTTGTTAATGCTTCCATTGTCTGCATTCTAGTACAACGAAAATTGCTAGTCGGTAAGGTCTTAGAGTAAAATATTTAAACACGCCTTCAAGATAAAGCCTTGTTTAGAATTGCCAATGTATGGGCATCGAATCAATTAAAAGTACAACCGACCGAACTTTATTTATTTTATTTATTGTTACATTCCGCATCTAACCGAGCGGGTCATTAGCGGCTTTAGATGGAATGAAATTAGGTGGACAAATTTAATGTCTTTTACAAATTCAAATACTTTTTGTATCTTTTCTTCGTCATCTGAAAGTGCGTCAGATATGTTGGAAGGTATATTATGTTTTGTTCTGGCGTCAGAGTATAGTCTGCAAGTTGGTGTTGATGCTGGTAAACAAACTATGGTTAGGGTGGTCCGGCTTAGAGATTATAGATGAGGCGTAAAAGAGAGTAAGGTAGTCTCTTCTTAAAACTAAGCTCGGTTCTCCACTTTCGACGTATAGGCTTTCAACGGGAGGGGATCTAAACGGCCCGGTGCATAATCT